ATTTTGTTTAAATGACCAGGGTTATTGAATTAGGGCTCGGATGTTGTAGTCCTTGAGCTTATCGTTGGAAGAATTTATTTATTAAAAAAAAAAATCCGATCTTGTTACATGCAAAGCGTAGAAAGAGAAAGAATGATACTTATCTTGGGACTCCACACCAACAGAATTGGGGACTGCAATTATTTTGGGAAGTTACACCCTCTTCTCGAAAGCCTTTTAACTACTGACTGTAGTCTATAGAATTCATGCTCTTGGAGAAACTAATAGGAACCTTATGTTATGACACATATAGGTCAGTAAGTTAGTGAAAGAAACGCTTGCTGAAGGATGTCCTTGAGGGCAAAGTGCAAACATTGGGAAAAAGGGAAACTGCCGAAGCTCGTGATACCAGCTGAATTTGAAATAACAAAAACACATAAGTAAGCATCCATATAAATTTGAAATATTGTTGTCATTATAACCTTTGTCTGCTGTGCTATATGATCCCAATGCTTGTGGAGCTTAAGAGATGGAATATTCTGTCTACTTAATATGTGATACCTATGTCTATAATAGTAGATGGGTTCTACTTCAAGTGTTGTGTCCTCCTAAATCTTGCGTTCGTTGTTACATGAAAGCCTTAAATTGCATCTATGAAACAAGGTGCATATTATTATTATTTTTTCTCAGGAATAGGATGCTGTCAACCCTCTAGCCATGTGCATGCATGTATATATATCTGTGTGTGCATGTGCGGTCAAGTGTGTGCATGGTCAAAGTAGGCTTCTACAACTGAAATGACGCCAACCAAAGTAATAGTCCATCTAAAGGGGCTCTGTTGCTACGATCTCAGGAAAAAGAAGGTGGGGTGGGGGTGGGGCGATTGCCCTGTTCAACACTCCATGTCTGTAACGGGGCTTGTCTCTAGTGTCAGGGCATACCACTCTTTTCTGTAATTCTCTCTATCTGCTGGCCACATACTCACCACCCAACTAATGGTTAGGAACCAAAATTTTATAATGGCTTTCCTAAGCTCTTCACGTGCAATATTTTATGTTATAAATTGATCCTTCCCTCCAGGTGAATGTGATAAAAGACATTTTACTATGAATATCAGCAGCAAGTGTATAAATTTTACGAGATAAAACATTCTTTTATTATATTAATTTCTGTTGTTTGCCTTAGAGTTCCTCTTTTTATCTTTGTCCTGATTCCTATTTTATTGTGTACATAAATAATTCATGCATGCAAGCATATATACACTACTTTTCATAAGCCTGGTTTCTAATTACTCTGTAAATTCTTTGGTTTGCAGTAGCACCTCAAAAACGTTTGAGGTTCAAGACAAGTGTAGATGCGACAGAAGTACAAGTGATAGACGCGATGCAAAAGATTGCATCTCACATAAAAAATCCTGTGAAGTTCAGTAAGGCATCAAAGCTTGCCTTGCAGTTAATTAAGGCTGGTAGTGTGAAACCTGGAACCAGTGATCACTTCTTTGCCATACTGGAGTCTGCAATGTCTTCACCTTCTTCTTGTACGGTGCCTTCACTGAGGGCAGATTATCATGCATTGTTCTCAGAAGTTCAAGATATTAAGGAGGTATGGTTTTGACTATATTACTCTAGTAGCAATGATGAGACCTCTGTTAGGAACAGGCCTAAATTGTGTATTAAAATATCATCGACATTAGTCAGAATGTATGATATCTAGCGAAATCTATCTCCTACCCTCTCATATTGTTTTGTTAAAATGTTCTTACCAATTTTGTGATTAAACATTGCATTGTTACCTCATTTGCTAAATATCCTAGAGACACATTCTTACGTCCGACTTATTTATGGTCCTTCTATCACTTAAAAGCATTGTGGTAGCAAAAACTTGTCTTAGTTTGTTTCTTCTTCTTTGCCTGTGCAGTGTTTCAGTGAGCAGCAGAACAATCAACTGACAACATGGACAATAAGAGCAGTGATGGCTAATGATCTCTACACTGATGATAGCTTTGTGGTATGATTTATCTATCTCATACATAATACTGTGAATTTTTCGGATTCAATTAGTAGGCTTAATATAATGCTAGTAAATATTCATGGAAACTTTGGTATATTCCCTTCGGACATCTGATAACACTACATAAAAATGATATTGCATCATATCTGATAGGGATTAGCAGTGTTGAAAAAAGCCCTGCTTTTGGTGCGGTTTGCAAAGCGGAAGTGGTGCTTCAACTCTCTGCTTTCATTGAAAGCGGCCAATGAAAGTGGACGTGACGCTTTCTGCTAAAAAACACAACATAAAGCTCGTAAAAGCGCATTTAAGCGCTTAAAAGCACTTTTAAGTGTTGAAAGCTCTTTTAAGCACTTTAAAAAAATACGAGTTTACAAAATAGTTGACCCGAACCGAACTCATTTTCTTAAGTAAAACTCTTGGCTTCTCCCCCCCATCTCTACCCCTTTCTCCACCCTCCCCAGCTGCTTGTGTGTGTTGAGACAAAAATAAACCTAAACCTAACCCTAAATCTCGCTCTGGCCGCCTCGTCCACTGCTTCAGGCCAATTCTGCAGCCTCCCACCACCAAACTGCGTCCAAATCCGTCTCTAGCAAGCTCTACTTTCGCTATGACCATCACGACATACCTTCTCTTGAGCTCCTTATCAAAGCTCTTCATCACCATCTCTAGTCGAAGCTCCTTTACCTACTTCTCCAATGCAAATTGGCTTTTTTTACTTTGTACTTTTTGTCATTTTTGCCGCTAAACCCCCAAAAAGCCTAAGCAGTGCCTCATCGCTTGGCTTCGCTTTCGGCTTTACACAAACTTGGTGGTTAATAAATTGCAAGTTGAATTATTGAGAAATGGTTGAAAACATTGACATACCTTCTAATGGAAAATGTTAGAACTCTTAATTTAGCTACCAATACTGAGATGCAAGTCTGCAGGCCATTGCAGATGTCAATCTGATTTTTGATTACCTCATGCAATCATAAACACCTTCTCCGCAATGATCATCATCCCTAGCCACCCCCATTTATTATTAGTGTTTGTGCCATTTACCACCAAAATGGGATTGCTTATACAAGAGCACGACAAGACGAGGAAACTCTGGAAAGCATCAATAAACATTTGACCAGATCAACCCTGTACGATTTGGTGCCAGAACTCATCTTTGATGTTATCTTTCAGGCACTTGTTGCCAATCCTTTTTTGTATAGGGTTAGTGCCAAGTTTAAGTTTGTTTATTTATATCCCTGAGTTATTTAAGTGCACTGTCCAAAGATTCTGAACTGTAGGGCCTCTGTAAGACTGTACAGAGAAGAAAGATATCAGGTTTGTATCTGATGAGAGTTTTTCATGCCATATAGTTGTTAATGGATGATATATAAGGGATATAAGCTCAACTGTCTATGTCAGACAATATCTATCTATCTGTCTATTAATCTATCTATAGATAGATAGATAGATTATAAATAGGACAAATTTTTAAAAAGAACCATTTTCCAACTTTAATGTGCAAAATCGACCGGTTCAAAAAAAAAGAAGCAAAATCGACCCTTTTCATTTGAAAAGGGTCGATTTGGCTGATGTGAATTTTTTTGGAGTGCACGGGATTGCTAGTCCCGTGCATCCAATCTCTCTCTCCTCACTCACCTGCCCTCAGCTCTATCTCTCTCTCTCTCATTCCCTCACACACTCTCTCATTTTCGTTCTCAGCTCTCTCTCCCCCTCAAAACCCACAACCCAACCTCCTCACTTCGACCAAACTGCCGCCCCGCTCCAGACCCTCCGAGCTCCACCTCGCTGCCGCCCAGATCCGCTCAGTTCCGCCCCTTGTCCACCGCCTCCATCACCGCGCTGCTGCTTTTCTCGCCGTCGACCGCCGCCCCTGCAGCTCCTTCGAGCTCCAACCCGACGACAGCCATCGTGTCCCCTCTTCCACGTTCAGATCCGCCAAACTGACGACGGTGACGTGTTCGACGGCTTGGGCGGCGAGGGGCGGGGGTCTGGAGCGGGGCGGCAGTTTGGTCGGAGTGAGGAGCTTGGGTTGTGGGTTTTGAGGGAGAGAGAGAGAGTTGAGAACGAAGATGAGAGAGAGAGAGTGTGAGGGAATGAGAGAGAGAGAGAGGTAGAGCTGAGGGCAGGTGAGTGAGGAGAGAGAGATTGGATGCAGTGCACTCCAAAAAGAATTCACATTAGCCAAATCGGCCCTTTTCAAATGAAAAGGGTCGATTTTGCTATTTATTTGAAAAGGGTCGATTTTGCTATTTTTTTTAAACCGGTCAATTTTGCACATTAAAATTGGAAAACGGTTCTTTTTAAAAATTTGTCCTTATAAATATTGACAAATTAAAGGTATTTGTTATGTTGTAATTATCATATATCCAATAAATATGGTACAATATCCTAAAAAATATCGACAAATTAAAGGTTATCTGTTATGTCCTAGTTATTAATTATCATATATCCAATAAAAAGGTAAAATATCCATATTAGGGCACAAGATTAAACCGTGAAATTGGAAAAAGATAAATTTAAATTTTGATCGATTCAAGTAACGCAACTAGTTTTATTTGCTACTTGTAATTGGATGAATGAAATCATAGGCGAGTCATCTAATTCCAAAATACTCCTGAGTCCTGATGTGAAGTCCTGACTCGCAAGTAGAAATATTGGAGGCTACTTAGTCAATTCATCAAGTCAGAGAACAAAGTATTCTGAGCAAATGAAATTATATCCAATAATTGCTAAATTAGATTTCACAAAGATAACAGTAGTACCATAAAAATAATATTAGGCTTGTGTGAATTCAGTACACAGAGGCAAACATCTGGTTTATAATAATAAGTTGAGTAAAGTGAGGTATACATCTTCTTTATAATTGTAGGGTTGGGCTTGGGTTGCTTCAAGCCTTCAAGTATGTTTCTTCATTTTCATCTCAATTAGAATTCCGAATTCAAGTATAAGAACTATTTTAGAACTGCTGTAAGCTCTGTTTCCATTTGAAGTATATGCAAAACTAGTTTTGGGACGTCTTTTTTTCTTGAACAATTTTTTTCTTTGGGAAATTAATTTATATTCACAGGTAAAAATAGAGATTTTCATGACAATCTATTAAGAAAGGTGAGAGCAGGATTTTCTGAGTAGCAATCTGTGGCACCACTTTTCTCCCCTTCATGTGTGTGTGTGTGTGTGTGTGTATATATATATATATATATATATATATATATATATATATATATATATATATATATATATATATATATATATATATATATATATATATATATATATATATATATTGGTTGATGGCTTAAAGCTTTTCTTTTGAACTTTCTTTCCTTCTAGATGCTGATCATATTGTAGGCTGAGCCTTATTATTTGGAATTATTCATATCAAAGCTTCATTTTTACTACTGTCTATACGTTGGGTTTTAATATTATGAAAGAGTGATAAACTGGATTATATTTTCAGTTTTCAAAAGCTGCAGGGAAAATAAAGGAAGCCATATCTAGTCTTCCCTTTGCCACAGTGGATGATGACAATGATGAAGCTGCAGATCTTGCAAAAACTGAAAGTGAAGTTGTCAACACGAGTTCTCAGGATGGTACCTCATCTCCTGTTTTGCCTAAATCAGCTCAAGAAGCCTCGGATCCCTTTGGTTTGGATGTCTTGCTTCCTAGTGCACCTAAGAAGGAAGAAAAATCGAGAGATAAGGAGATAGCTCTGTTAAACAGAAAGGCAGAAGAGGAAGAATCAAAGAGATATAACAAGTTGCAGAGAGAAGCACTTCTTTTATGTTTGGAGATCGCAGCTGGACGGTATAGACTACCATGGTCAGTGTTCCAATATGCGTTAAATCTCTAATCTTTCAAATAGTTGACTTTCATTAGTGTTAATTGCACATAGACACCCTGTAATATCTCTCTTTTGAACTTACTACTATTGAAGTTTCATTGTTGCCAACCCCACCCCACTCCACCCCAGCGCACCTAGCGAGTTAAATTTTTCTGACTCATCTACCCTAGGTGAAATTTTGTAAGATGTTGTCCCTCAGTGAAATTAGTGATACTATCTGAGGGCGGAAGAGTTGAAAAATAAAACAAAATAACCCAAAGGTCTATCACAGCAATGAAACTACATGGGCAGTAAGTTGAAAACGGCTATATTGCAGGGGTCTATATGCTATTAAACCGTTCCTTTATGCTGATAGATATAACTGTCTTCGTATATATTTTTCCCCATTCAGGGCCCAGACAGTGATTGATATCTTGGTGAAGCATGCCTTTGACAACATAAACAGGTTCACCTCCCAACAAAGAGATGCGATTGAGAAGCTCTGGGCTTCAGTAAAAGAGCAGCAGATCAGGAGGAAGCAAGGAAAGTCTGTGACAGGCAAACTCGACATGAATGCCTTCGAATGGCTGCAGGAGAAATATGCTAGTGAGAAGATCAGCATACGGCATTCTGTTGGAGGAGGAGGTGAACGTCGTTGTGAACAGTGGCTTGGTTGAAATTTTCTGTACAGCCAACTGATTCATATGCATATTTTTGCCTGTTCCAGTTTGGGTATTTCTCCTCGCTATGATCCAGTTGCGTGATAGATTGGCCCTTGGTCATAAGGATTATTGTTGTTGGCATACTGAATGTACAAGTAATACTATGGTATTGTTGTTGTTAATGACAATTTTCTTAGTTATCGCCGTGGTCTCATTCGATCAGAAACTCGATTTTACCAGAACTCGCGGATGAATGTTGCAGCTGTTAATGAAATGTGCTTGCAGCATTCTTTTTCGGGAGAGAAATGGTGTGGGCGTTGGAAAATATTGATGATCAGCTATTCGTCAAACTTGGGAAATGGTTTTGATGTGATATAGCTATCCTATCAGATGGTTTTGACAGTGCAAAAAAATTGGAGATTACCTAACTGCAAGTACTGCGATGCTTTGAAACTTGCTTCTGGGCAAATTTCATGAGACCTCCCAAGAAGTTTGGCTTGTTTGAGATAACCTTACCAAAAAGTTCAGAAATGTCACTTAACCTTTGACTTGCAATTTTCTGAATCTATTTTTAGATAACACTTAATTTTTTTTGGTGATATCTGAAAAATGTTGTGAGTTAGTGGCATTTCCTAACTTTCTGGGGTTTATCTTAAAATTGGCAAACTTAATTGGGGCTTTGTCAAATTTAACTTATATGGTACTTCTATCCATGGCTCTCCTACTGGCTGGTAACAACATCTAACAACAGCGGAATGTTTCATATTTAATGGATGCTTTCACGATGCAAGTATAAGAAACTTGTCAATAAATGAAATAATACTAATAATTGTCATGAAAGTTGCCATCTTATTTGTAGTTTGAGTTAGGTCATCTTACACTTTAATTGTGAAAACTCTAGTGAGTTCATTAGCTCTCTCTAGGATGTTATTTATAGTTTTTAAGAAAACAAAAAAGTTTGTCCCTAACCAACGTGGGACTAAACAACTACTCTCTCAATACTTCCCCTCATGCTGAGCATACTTATCGATACATGCCCAACTTGTTACAAACAAAATTCACCCGTATTCTCCAAAGAAGTTTAGGGAAAATATCTGCAAGTTGATGATCTGATGGTATGTATTTGGCTCTAATGATTCTCTTCTCTATTTTCTCACGAATCAAGTGACAATCAATCTCTATGTGTTCAGTCCTCTCATGAAACACCAGGTTCTCAGCTATGTAAATGGCGGCATTGTTATCTCCATACAAGCTCATGACACACTCCGAATGATAACCAATCTCTGTTAGTATATCTCTAACTTAGATCAGCTCGCAAGTCAAATTCGCCATGGCTCAATACTCAAACTCAACTGTAGATCGAGAGACCACACTCTATTTCTTACTCTTCCATGATATTAGATTTCCTTCAAGAAACACACAATACCCAGTAATTGACCGTCTGTCCTCAGGAGATCCTGTCCAATCTGCATCTGAGAATCCTGCAGCGCTCGTGTGACCGCTATCTAGATAGAGTACTCATTTTCCTGGAGTTTTCTTGAGATACCTAAGAATCCTCTTCATAACTTCCATGTGAGATTTCCTAGGTGCCGAGAGAAACTGACTGACCATATTAACAAAAAATACAATATCCAGTCTCGTGACTATTAGGTAGTTCAGTTTTACTACAAGTCGCATGTAATCTTCAGAATCCTCCAGTAACTCTCCCTGAGTTGATAGTAGTTTGATCTTGTCATCCATAGGTGATGCCCTTGTATTTTGACATCCCAGCATTTAGCAACATATCAAGTACATATTTTCTTTAAGATAAGAGAATTCCCTTCTTCGATCAAGCTATTTCCATACCCAAATTTTTTTTTTAAGAATCTGAGGTCCTTGGTTTGAAATTGTTGCTATAGATACTTCTTCAAATGACTAATGCCATGTGCATTATCACTAGTGATCACAATTGTTTGTGGGAAAATTCGATGTAAAAGAAACGAAAGAAAAATTGACTTGTATTCTCTCAAAATCGATTCGATGTAAAAGAAACGAAAGAAAAATTGACTTGTATTCTCTCAAAATCGATTACAATTTGGATTCCGATTACAAAAGAGAGGAGAATCGATTACAATTTGGATTCCGATTACAAAAGAGAGGAGAATGAATTTGATTCTCCCCTTTGTTTAAACTGAGTTCTTCTTGGTGACGATGTAGTGCCTCCCTCGAATGCTCGCTCGAGTTTGCTCTCCGTTGACGATCCGACTTTTTGCTTCACTGGAACGTGGTCTTCTCCTCACGATTTGACGTTGTGGAGAACTTGCGTGGAAAGTTTGAGAACTCTGAACGAGTTTAGAATAACTCTGTGAAAGAGTTGATTTGAACCGAAGATCGGTTAATAAGCCAAGGCTAGAAGAAAGCTCCGGTGGTCGATCGTTGCTGAGGATGAACGTCGATCTCCCCCGTCAGTCTCTCCGATCAACCCAGCCAACCCTTCCGTTCCAAAAAGCCAGCCCTTAACTCATTTGAGTTTACCCATATTTATAGGGAATTAAGGGGTGTAACCGCCCCCTTAATCCGCTCCTAAGTGGGGCGGAAATCCCTCAAATCGTGAAGGAAAAACGGTTCCTGCAACCGTTCAGCTCGTGTTTGAACGAGTCAAACGCCCACGTCGGCGTTCAGGACCCTAACTCCGTGTTTTAGAATAGAGACGTGGAGTTGGGTACCCGCTGAGCATTGAAAAACGCGGGTCCGACCCCAGCGTTTTGATGTTGTAACGCGGGTCCGACTCCAGCGTTTTGATGTTGTAACGCGGGTCCGACTCCACCGTTTTGATGTTGTAACGTGGGTTCGACCCTCGCGTTTTACTGTTGACACACGGGGAGGACCTCCGCATTTTGGTGTTGATACACGGGGAGGACCTCCGCGTTTTGGTCTTAGAGCGCGGTGATGAGTTCCGCGTCTTGCTTTGGAGAGATTATCAACAAGTAATCTCTTTTGTCATAGCGTTGTAAAGATCATTGTCTTGTAATCTTCGTCTTGGCTCCTTGAGAATATGAGAGTCGTCAGATTGTAACTCCCGATGTTGATTGTGAATGCTGTTGATTAGAGCTTTCATCAGTTGTTGTGAAAGTCTCCAAATTGTAGCCTTCTGGAAGTCGTCAGATTATAACTTCCATCATCGGTGTTTGATGGGGGATAAGCTATCTATTATGATTTTTAGACAGCCTACAGAACCCCCTCTAAAGTTTTTGAAAGTTCGCGGTTGACTGGGACGAATTTTCGGAATACTTTGGATCTCAACTCTGATCCTGGAGCTGTTGATTCCTTGTTGTAAAGGAGTCATTCTCTGCACTCGCTTTGAAGGTATCTTGGTTGAAGGGATTTGCCATGTAGGACCTGTGTGAAGGTATGCGCCATAATCCTGCTTCTGGAATATTGGGGTGTATCCTTACGTTTTGAACTTAAGACGCGAGTCTCACCCTTGCATGTTGAATTTGGAACACGGGTGTGACCTCGGCGTTCGGTTTTTGCATCGCGGGTCTGACCTCAGCGTCTGACCTCCGCGTTTGGTTTTTGCATCGCGGGTTTGACCTAAGCGTTTGGTTTTTGCATTGCGGGTCTGACCTCAGCGTTTTGACTTAAGACATGGAAGTGGCTTCCGTGCATTTTTGACTAAGTCTTTGAGACCTGTCTTTAGCTCATCTGTTTCAAGTCTCGGCTCACATCCATTAAGCTAATGGACCTACGAACATGCATAGGATTTTTGGCAAACCCTTAGCCATCAACGGGTTTGATAAGCCTTTACCGACTACCGTTTGAGTCGGGCTAGCATGTGAATTATTTAAATCCGTTTCACATGTAACGTTGTGCTAAGAGAATGAACCCTCTTAGACTTGATGCTATGATTTTGAATACATAGACTTTGTTATTTTTACGGAAAAAGACTAACCGGCAACGCGTGTTAGGCGTAGACTTATCTCTAATTAGGGATCGAGATAAAATCCCCCATGTCCCCCAGGCATGGATTTTGATATCTTTTTCACGGTAAAAGATTAACCGGCAACGCGTGTTAGGCGTAGACTTATCCTTACTTAGGATTCGGGATAAATTTCCCCATGCGTGTAAGGCAAGGATTTTGGCGTTATTAATAACGACCTGCTACGATGTTGAATACGTAGGTTTTGTCATTATTTCTTCCTGTGTTACTTGAAACACTGAAAGAAAGTTAGAAGCGCCAGAGGTGTAATATTAACTTGACATAAATTTCTACTTAGAGTGAAATTCAGAAATTTTCTTTATTATCACTAGGATAATTCCAGAAAATATTTAATCCGCTAGGGATTTTATAATGACAACTTGCTATTCTTGTTAAAAAAGGATTAACAAGTTTATTGGGGGGGTTTGACTGTTAGAGGTGTGATGTTAACCTAACAGTATTTTATGGGCTTATCGCTCTATTGAAGAGAGCCGATAAGTTGGTTTGATCGTCAGAGGTGTGATGTTAACTTGACTAAAATTTATGGACCTATCGCTCTATTAAGGAGAGTCGATAAGTGGATTTTGTCAGAGGTGTGATATTAACATGACAAGAAGAATATTACGATCATGGAAATTTTGAGGACCTATCGCTCTATTGACGAGAGTCGATAAGTGGATTGTCAGAGGTTTGGTGTTAACGTGACAGGATTTTGTGTTGCGATTGGAGCAACTTTGGAGACTTATCATCCTATTGACGAGGATTGATAAGTGGATTGTCAGAGGTATAATGTTAACGTGACAGGAATGTGTTGCGATCGGAACAACTTTGTGGACTTATCATCCTATTAAAGAGGATTGATAAGTGGGTTGTCAGAGGTATGATGTTAACGTGACAGGAATGTGTTCCGATCGGAGCAACTTCATGGACTTATCATCCTATTGAAGAGGATTGATAAGTGGGTTGTCAGAGGTATGATGTTAACGTGACAGGAATGTGTTGCGATCGGAGCAACTTTGTGGACTTATCATCCTATTGAAGAGGATTAATAAGTGGGTTGTCAGAGGTATAATGTTAACGTGACAGGAATGTGTACTTGTGACTTGCACAAGATTTTGGGAATTAGCGTCTCGCTGGGGAAACTTGCTAGGTGAGTGTATCATCAGAAGTGATGAATTTTGATGCTTGTGATTTGAACAAGATTTTTAAGACTTAGCGTTTTGCTGGGGAAGATTGCGATTTGAGCAATTTTGAGGACTTATAATCCTATTGTTAAGGATTGATAAGTTAATTATTGTCAGAGGTATATTGTTAACGTGACAAATTGGGAGTGATGCAAGTTGAATGCGTACTCTGTGGGGATGATGATCGTCAGAAGT